TATATATATATATATATATATATATATATATATCCGATCACTCGGTCATGATGTTATCTTCGATATCTTAAGTAAAGCTGCAGAGTATAAATCTTTGAGAAAACAAAATTTTGTAGGTTGGATGAATGTCGCTATCACAAACTATTATTTAATTATAATTTTATTTTTATTGATGGCATTAGAAGAATAAAACATTATATTAGTCCAAAACAAAATTAAATTTTGCATTCTGTTTTAATAGTTTTGAGCAAAAACTATAGCAATATAAAAATTTTTGATTGGAGTCACTAAAAAACAAAGTTTTAATAGTTAATTTGCTTAGACATTAATTAAGCTTTCAAGCACCTAGCTGATTAAAACTTGATTCAGAAAGTACACTTTTTAAGGACAAAGAAGCTTGACCCCCTCTAAATATGGAATTACGTCAAAGAAATAATGTCACGTCGAGGTACAGAAAAATAAAAAAAAATTTGTTTTAACACAAAAGAATATTCCCCCGTGTTATTCAGTTGTTATTGTGATTGCATTCATATATTATTGTGTTCTAAGAATATTTTCGGTGTTATAATAACAAAATAAATAACACATCAATACCACCCATAATAACACCTGAATGATGCGGAATAACACAAGAGGAATATTCCCCTATGTTACCGAGTCGGATCACAAGAAAATGAGTTTTTTTTTTCTATCAGCTCCACGTGGTGGTGATTCATTGGACTTCGGATGTATCTATACGTCCGGAGTCTGGACGTAATAGTTTTTCCGAAATCTGCGAGTTAATATCGACTTATTATCTTGTTAAAGTTATTTTATATTTTTTTTGGAGTGGAGGGTAATAAATAGAAGTTCTATATCTGTTGGTTGATTATGAGTTTAAAAGTAGTAATTTAAGGTTTTTTTAAATTTTTTTTTGCTCTTTCTTTCACATTCCGACGTCAAAAAATAGCCGTAATAACTCGATGTCAACACGTTGAATTTTAGCAAACGACTCCTACAGGATCATCCTTGGTGCAGTCTGATGAGCATCACTAACATTTCCGTTTTCTAATTCAGGGTGTCAAATCAGTATTGGGTAACTTCTATATTATGACCGGAGGCCAGCATTCGTCCATCGTAAAGAATAACTCAACTTTCAATTGTCTTGAAAATGGCACATCAAAAATAAAATAAAATAAAATAAAATAAAAATTCAATCATTTTTATATTACATTTATTTAAAACAGTTTTAATTTTTTTTAACTTATTTTATTTACATAATGAACAAAATATTTCTATTTTTTCTAATAATCTTCAACAAAACAAATGGATATGAGCTTCACCTGTTGGGAGAGATGTAGTGTCTGAAAGAGAAGAAAGCGACAAAAGAAGTGCAACCACAAGTGTTTGGAAAACAGTACACAGGGATAGGGGCATGCTCAAGCAGAGGTTGAGTGTGCCCAAACTTGACTCGTATTCGGCCCGTTAAAAAATACCACAGTTTGTGTTATGCTCGCTTATGTATTGAGGGCGAAAGATTTGATCATGCTCGGCTCACTTGTTTTGTGAGTCAAACACGAGCTATTAGTGAACATCAAGCCTTTTTGACGACCTTAGTCACGATGGGGTAGGATGTCAGGTAGGATGACAAGAGAATGACGAGAATTAAAACTTATTATTTATATTAAAATATTCATTTAAATAGATATTAATATATTTTTATTATATTTATTTAATTAATAATTTTAATCTATTATAAATTTTTGTAGCTTTATAGTCAATCAAATTCTATTTTAATTATTTTGAGTCGAAATGAGTCGAACATGAACAACAAATCTCTGTTCATGTTTGGCTCGTTTATATATCAAACGCCAAAAAAATTATTCAAGTACGATTCTGCTTAGCAAACGAATCGAACACGGGTGACAAGAGGAGCCGGATGTGAGCTGTTTGTGAAAAACTAGGCCATATTTTTGCAGTTAAATTTCCATCACCTGAAGCAATTTAAGACACTTCTTGCCGAGAGTTTCCTTTAGCATTTTATATTACATCTCTCGAGGCCACAAAATAAAAGAAAAAGGACGAATCACCTAACTAAACAAAATTAGAACACCAATACATATACATAATAATAACATGCACGAACAAATTATCCATGAGTTACGACCCTTAATGTCTGCTGCTTTCAATTCAATTCAGCTTTTGCTTCATTCCCCCAAAGTGGAAAAGGCTCTTATTCATAATAAGGAGTTATATCGACAACTTTGAAATTTTACATCACATTAGCTTCTACTAGTAGATCTATTTGATAGCTATTAGTTTTCTTCAAAGTTAAAGTTCTATTTGCTCTAGTGTAAGAATGACATCCCCAATAATAGAGGTCCATTTCTTGGTAGTTATAGATGTCGTAGACTAAATCATTCAATTAATAATTGAATCAATGTCCAGTATTTATTGCTCTTCTAGACATGTTGGCTTGGGCCTAATCAGGAGCATTCTATCATATCATTCTTAGACCTGAAGTTGTAAGTTTTAAATTATTTGTTGTGCTGTTCTCCATTGGGACTATTAGAATTGGGTGTTAGTTGGGACAACTTTTTAAACAATGTAATAGGGTTGTGTCCATGCACAACTTTGAATGGACTTTGTCCCACAGTCTAATTGCAGAAACAGTTGAAGAAAGATTTCTCGTGAGCTAAAATGAGGACCCATCATTGAATAATTTCTATCACAAACTAACACAACAAGTTTTCCAATTTATGATTAATAGTTTATGTCTAGTCAATTTCCTCTGGATGTACAACAAAACTAACTTGAAATTTAGTACCTAGTTTTCCTCATAGCATCTTCCAAAGATAGCTAATAATTTATCATGTTGATCAGAAGTGATAGTCTTCAAAATCCTATGTAACTGTAGTATCTCTTTGAAATATATATTTGAAATAAAGGTGACACCCAATAATTTGGTGCGAGTTATGAAATTAGTCATTTTTGAAAAACCATGATTG